TGGAGAATGGAACTCCAATATGTTATTTTCAAACAAGGATCTTGCTTTTGATATGTCTTTGTAACAACATATTTCAGTTTCAGAGACTGCCCTAAATATTCAGCCGTGCTCAGCTCAGTTAATAGAAAAGAATTCTTAAGTGGCTTTGTAACTTAATAAAATTTTAACATAATTTTATGCTATAAAAATATTGATTATTACAAAGTGAAGATGCTACTAAAATAATTATTCAGAATAACAATCAGATTAATAATGGCTCAAAATAAATGTGTTTTGCCTAGGAAAAACCATCTAGATGCCCAGAAAAATCCATAGGGCAGTTATACTGGTGAAGATATTATGTTAAATGAATCCAGAATTTCTGGTCTCAATCAAGAAAATAGCACATATCCGTGAGTGAAACAGGCATTCCCAAGGAAGCTCCAGGAACTGAACTTTATTGGCTCTTGTGATCCAGGAGAACTTGACAGGTTTTTGGCCTCCTGTAAGTCAAGTCTTGTTTCTGAAGAGACTTGGATTTCAGAGGCATCCATCCAAAGGAATTAACAAAAAAATAAAATTAAGTCTCCAGTGAAAACCTCATTAAAAACTGCGATAAAATTATTAAATGCACTGCAAGACTCAATCTTGTTCTGGCAAACACACTGCAACTCTGCAGCCAAGTTCTAAAATTTTGTAAGCGCTGTCACAGGAGACAAATATTTCCATCCTCTCTAATTCTATTCCCTCATAAAAGAAAATTTTTAAAAAGTACACTATCCTGCAGCTGAGAATTTCAATGTGTTTGGTAAACATTAGTGTATCAGTGAAAAAAGAACTCATACAATAGAGTACATCTGTAAATGCATACAATAAATGTAAAAGGATACATTCCATTTGAGAAATATGAAGAAAGAAATCAATCTCAAATTTGTATGTGCTGGATCAATCAGACACTTCAATATAGTGGCAAACAAGTACAACATCAGCATTTATAAGCTAAATAGTTGACATACCAAATTGCTCTGTGAAATATGGGAGATAACAACCACCAGTAATATTCTAAGTGTTCTTCAAAAATATGAAAAGAGCTAAACCAAACACATTTTTAAAATACTTATTAAAAGTCAATTCAAAATTTAATCATGCTTAGAGCTGGAGAGAGTAAGAAATTTAGATTTCCTTTTTCTAATCATTCAAAGAAGGAAAACAAGAAAAAGGGCAATGGTGAATTAATTATTAGAAAAGAAAACCTCTGTGAGAAGAATTTATTGAACAAGTACCTAGAAGTCGGGGAAGACCTAACTATACATATATGTAATAAGGAAGAAAAGGGGGAAAAAAATAAGCTCAGGCTGACATACTTTGCTTCTTACATGACAGTATCTGAGTATTCAATATGCAGTATCAATTTCAATTTAGGTATTTTTAAAACTGCCCCCAATCAGCTTACCAGCACGACTGCCTCAATAAATTACTCCTGAGGAGTTCTGACACACCTGTGTGGCTACAATAGTTGTCGGGGCTAGCTCTTTCTGTATTTGAAATGACTTTTCCTTCTAGGAATGGAAATACATAAAGAGTCACCTAACATTTTATCAGCATCCCAAGTCTTCAACATAGCAATACTTGCCAATTTTTCCTCCCCTCTCCGAACACTAAGTTTACACAAGAATCTGAAGCTCCTGGGTGTTCTCTCAACTATGTAAAAAGTTGATTTTGGACTCTTAGAGGAAATTTCCATTGAACTTTCCCATATTTATATTTTCTGGGTGAATAAAGGAACTGAAAACACTGTTGTATTTTAGAAAACCAATTATAGAAATAAATTGTTTCTTGGTGAGTTCAGCAAAAGTTGTATCATGCACATGCTTTGTTCAATTAAAGAACACTTTACTTTAATGAAAGGTAGAAAATCTTGACCAGAAATTACCTCGTAGGGATTCTGAGATACCTCACTACATTCCCAGCATAAGCCTTTAAAACATTTATCTGTACATTTTTTAAATCCCTGTATATGCCTACAGTATATCAAACAGAGCGGGGAGAATTCTCATAGAGGTCTATATTCCTTCACTGACCAACCCCCACGGGAGCCTCATCTTCCCTCATCTCCTTCAATTGTGAAGGAGACTGGCTACCAGATCTGCTGGTTTCTAGAACATTGGATGCTTGCTCACTATACCGATGGATTGATTATACTGGTGAAGTTAAATATTCACAGTGAGGAATGAAATTCTGAGTAGAGTTTTAATTTTACTAACAAGTGTTCAGTTATCCAGATGAGCATCAAAACAGCGAATGGAGTTATTTTGCAGCTGGTTTTCTTGAGAAATATTGCTTAATCACACATCCAGCTAACCAGCCAAGAATGTTCATTCTACAATTGCAAAATACTGATTCAGGATGAAAAACATCTCATCTTAGCCACAGTGTCCTTCTGTAACTTTAAGTACATCTTGTGGGCCAATATAGTCTTCTAAAAACATGCAAGGGAGGCACAAATGATGATCTCATTCAGTGATCCCACTAGACACATATCTTTAAACTATTTTTCCTTAACTCCTTGACTGAATACATAACTTGTGAAGCAGGAGTTTTAAGCTCACTTCACAACACAACACACAGAAGATATTACCTTGCAAATTTCAGTGTTATAATAATATAAGGATATGAATGTATGAATGATTAAAGTTGACTAAATTGCTTATCTTTTATTCTTTTCTTCCTTTTGTATTCTAACTGAAATGCCCATTTGTTCTTTGCAAATTCAGTTTACAGAGGGTGCTATTTATGAGGGATATAATACTTAATACTAAATGAGCCACACTATAGAATATAGCCAAATAAAGTTGATTGCTTTTCACAGTCAGCTTTGGAATAATTTACAACAAGCTTTCTCTAGGGAGAAAAAAAAAAATATATATATATTTTAATAGATATATGTATATCTATATTATACACATATATATATAATATAATATATAATATATACATATTATAGATAAATGTATATCTAACAGAATGCAGTGAAAGATGACAAGACAGAGGTATTTCTCAAGTAGCGAAGAATGTGCCAAAGGGGACACTTTACAGACTTTTCTTCTGAGACCTCTGATGAACACTGGAATCAGCTGAATGCTTGGGGAATGTAAGAGTAGGAAGTAAGCCACCGTGAACATAACTATTGGGAATTGCAGAGGAACAGTAAACATCCGACTTGGCTGATGATCTTCTTTCTTAACAAAAAATAACAACAAATTTTATGAGGTTCCTATGAGATTCAGAAGACTGCCGATGTTTTTCAGCCATCTTTACTTAAATGAGTCACTAAAACACTTATTTGACAGCGGTGAGGCAATCCAGCAGGACTAGATACAAAACAGACTTTTATAAATATCTTTCACATCTCTAAAGACGGTCAGTCATAAAAAACAAAGCTCACATGTAGCTGGGAAAGCAGTAGACAGTTGAATACAGCCAAGGCTGATTTCAGTAGCTCAAGAATACATCCGAATACCGAAAGGCGTGTCAGTGAAAAGTTACTCCATATTTTTTCAAACATCATTCATTCATTAGCTGCTGAACTGCAGTGAAGTCAAATAGTAAATAGCAGGTTGTCCTATAAATAATTTTTTAGGCTAAAAGGTTAAGGAAACTACATAAGTAGTTTTAAGCAATGAAATAGTTCAAGAAGTGAATTTGCTAATTTTCACTAAAGAACATAACTCCTTTTTTTTTATATATTTAATCTATATTGGCAAATTTAGCACTTTCTGGAAGGCCAATAAAGTTACCATGTTGATAATACTGGCGTGAAAAAAGATGACTTCTCTTTCTAGGTGAGGCACCTAAAAGCCACAGATTGCTAAACAGGTTTAAGCAAGCATTCTTGAGGTATTTTTGAACTTTTTTCTCTCTGTAGAAGTGGGAATTTTTGTATTGTGTAATTGGCCAGATGGTCGTGACTCATTCAGTCACAAGGCCAAATTGATTTTTACATTAATAACAAAACCTTGAAGCCCTAAGCCTTGTACCTCAAATACCTCCTGCTGAAGACAATGTCAGCAGCCATTTGTTCCTTTAGTCTTGCAAATCTCTTGTTTTTGACCAACGTCAAAAATAACTAATGTGAAAAAATCTGTTTCTCTTAACAGAATTATGCACATATTGCTCATCTATCTATCTCTTCTTTTGCTGGAAAATAGAACAGTGCTCCAAAGTATTGTTCCATTTTGTATTTGGAGCAAAGATGCATCATTGTTCACACTTCCAAGCCTCAGGAACTGCTTCCGACTGAAACAAAAATACTGCCTTCACTATAGACATTATCAACTTCTGCAGGCCCTAAAGTCTGAATGCACTGCTGGTACACACAACGTTCTCAAATAGCAACCACCATAAATCTCAGACTCTGTGGGCTGGTGTTCAAGAGACAAAATTAAACAGAAGTAGACAGAAGTTACATCTCTTTCATACCACTTCCCCATCACTCTAAAAAAGCAGGTGCTACATGTAGAATAAAAGCACTCCAGTAGCCTATGAAACCACAAATTATCAGGCAGTGAGACAAGTGCTTTGAGGATTATTATTTCTATGATATTCATGCATACACACTTAACAAACCCTTAGACTGTATGCATTCTATTTGCATATATGTGTGTGCATGTAGAACACCTATAATGTAAATACATAGGTAAAAGCCAATACTCTTAAGACTGATAAAACAAATTTAAGATAAATTATCTACTCTTTTATAGTGTTCTAACATGCAGCTTGGATTGCAAGGAAGTCAAATTAAGTTAACGAGAATAAAAATGTATCCATGTTTAACACAATTAAAACAAGCATTTACCTTCTTAATGCAACACAAATGATTGTTCAATGTAGACCAGAAGTTTAATTTGATTTATCTCAACTATTACAGTTTTGGCTTACATTCAGCAATGTTAGAACCCCCCATGCAAAAATCTGCCAAGAAAAAAATAAGATACAGTTACTTTTATTTGAAACTTACATACCTTGGCCTCCGAAATGCTAAACCATAATGCTGGCAAGCCAGTCCCACAGTGGGAGTATAAACAATAGGCATGAACTTTTCAATGTCAGAAGTCAGCACTTTATAGAAAAGCTTTTCATTTCGATCCTGAAGACTCATTAGTAGAATATATCTGTGGAGAATTAGATATAATTAGGCAGGCATCAAGTGGAATATATGAAGTAAATTCAGAAACAAAAAGGTGCCCAGATAATTAGTTAAAGCCATGTTTTTAAAGCAACAGCCTCTTAGTCTCCTGCCTAGAATATTTAAATTCCTGTTTGTCTTAAAGACAATACTATTTCAGACATAAAGGATAACTAACTGGTTGAGACAGAGAGCAGCTGAGAAGATCACAGTGTTGGCATATTCTACACCATCAGGAAGTTAAACTTGAGCTCCAGGTATAAAACATTAAAATGCAAGATAATTTTTAGTCTTTCAGAACCTAAACCGTACATATAAACTATTTCATTTGAAATTAAGTAGTTATTAAAAGAAAAACTAAACAAAATCTCTCACTTGCAGGAAAAAAAAAAAAAAAAAAAAAACAAACCTAGAAAATACAGCTTTTTCTTCTCTTGCCTCCATAGCAAATTCTCCCCAAACCGGATAAATACTTCAAACAAATACTTTACTGGTATGCTGCAGGACAAAGCTTTCAAAAACAGAGCTGACATATATCTTTCAACAGTGAATTTTATCCTTGTAATGAAATCTACAATTTTTTCTTTGTCTCCTAACAGAAATCAATTTTGGATTGCATTTGAAGAAGTTTTAGATTTATGTAAGCAGAAATTCCATATTAAAACATCAGAAAAATGAGAATGAAAAAATATCTTACTTATTCTGGTCTACTTCTGACTACCATCACTCTAACTCTGAATAAACACTGAGTTACTCATTATCCCAGCCAGGATCACTGGGTATGACACTGCAAATGAGAGTGTTTGTTTCTAGTGACTTCAAGTTACATTATTATTTCTTAGGTACAAGCCTGGTCAGTTCATGAAAAATTGATATTTTGGAATCTGATGAACCTAAGTAATTTAGCTAATATTCAGCTGTTTTGTTAAAGCTTAGCTTTATCCATTAGCTAAAGAAGTATTCAACAAGTCCAATACAAATGGTCAGTGCAGCCCCCTTGGCAAGAGGAGACTGCAGTGATGTGGCAGGAGTAAGAGGCAAACCAGTTAAATACCTTGTGTTACTAAGGGTATTCTGGCCTCCATACAGACAAAGATTTTGAAACCAAAATGTTGAACATGTACTCTAAATACTATCATCATGAGATATCCTGAACTATCTTCCTTTCTACATGGAAGTTTTGAATGTTTTCCAGGGTTAAATTATACCCTACACTTGCAGTTCTCAGCTGCAAATACATCTATACTAATTTTCCCTCATATTAGTACATTTCCTTACAACCTTTAATTTTCCTAGCACTTTATCATGATATGGCATGTCTTTCAATCCCCTTTATTCCAAGAGAACTTTCTTTATTAAAACCTTTCAGTTGAGAATGATTATCCCAACATTTATCATGAAATTCAAGCTCCTTTACATACAGTTGTAAATACATTTGAGGGCATTCATTTGTTTCCAGAGGATATCAAAGTGGTGTTAGAGACTATCAGGTGTATTTAGGCCTGCACTGTATCAGAGACTACAAGCATTCATGCAAGCTATGTGAACAAGTTGCTCGTATGCTTTTTCTTCTTTTTACCAGTTTTATTTAAAATGAGAAGCAAATATTTAAAATTTTAAAATACCTTTTCATTGCCCTTTCTAATTACTCAGAGCAATTCTGTATTTTAAATGTAAAGAAAGCTTTTACAGAGTAAATTAAAAGGAGCAAGTCCGAGAGTGCCTCCTTAGACTGAATGAATTCAAGTCTATGGGGCCGGATGGCTTGCATCCCAGGGTCCTGAAGGAGCTGGCTGAGGTGGTTGCCGAGCCGCTCTCCATCATATTTGAGAAGTCGTGGCTGTCAGGTGAGGTCCCGGATGACTGGAGGAAGGGTCACGTCACTCCCATATACAAGAAGGGGAGCAGGGAGGACCCGGGGAACTACAGGCCGGTGAGTCTCACCTCCGTGCCTGGGAAGATCATGGAACGGATCCTCCTGGACAACATGCTCGATCACATAAAGAATGAGCATGTGATCCGAGACAGCCAGCACGGCTTCACCAAAGGAAGGTCATGCCTAACTAATCTTGTGGCCTTCTATGATGGAGTGACGGCATTGGTGGACGAAGGGAAGGCGACTGATGTCATTTACCTGTACCTGAGCAAGGCCTTTGACATGGTCCCCCACCACATCCTCATCTCCAAATGGAGGGAAGTGGATTTGATGGGTGGACGACCCGATGGGTAAGAAACTGGTTGAAAGGCCGCAGACAGAGGGTGGTGGTCAATGGCTCTATGTCCAGGTGGAGGCCGGTAACAAGTGGTGTCCCCCAAGGGTCTGTCTTGGGACCGGTGCTCTTTAACATCTTTATTAATGACATCGATGAGGGAATTGAGTGCACCCTCAGCAAGTTTGCTGACGACACCAAGCTGAGTGGTGCGGTTGATACGGTGGAAGGAAGGGATGCCATTCAGAGGGACCTCGACAGGCTGGAGGGCTGGGCTCGGGTGAACCTAATGAGGTTCAACACGGCAAAGTGCAAGGTTTTGCATTTGGGCCGGAAGAACCCCAGGCACCCGTACAGGCTGGGAGGAGTGGTCCTTGAGAGCAGCTCGGCAGAGAAGGACCTGGGGGTCCTGATGGACGAGAGACTGAACATGAGCCAGCAGTGCGCTCTGGCAGCTCGAAAGGCAAATGGGATCCTGGGCTCCATCAGGAGAGGGGTGGTCAGCAGGGACAGGGAGGTGATTGTCCCTCTCTACTCGGCTCTTGTGAGGCCCCATCTGGAGTACTGTGTCCAGGTGTGGAGCCCTCAGTACAAGAAAGACATTGAGATTTTGGAAAGGGTCCAGAGGAGGGCGACTAAGATGATCAGGGGGCTGGAGCACCTCCCCTATGAGGACAGGCTGAGGGAGTTGGGCTTGTTCAGCCTGGAGAAGAGAAGGCTGCGGGGTGACCTCATTGCAGCCTATCAATACCTGAAGGGAACCTACACCCACGAGGGGACTAAACTCTTCAAAAGGGCTGACAACAGCAGGACTAGGGGAAATGGATCGAAGTTGAAGGAGGGAAGATTTAGGTTGGATGTTAGGGGGAAGTTCTTTACAAGGAGAGTGGTTAGGCCCTGGAACGGGCTGCCCAGGGAGGTTGTGGATGCCCCGTCCTTGGATGTGTTTAAGGCCAGGTTGGACGGGGTCCTGGGCAACCTGATCTGAATGTGTGTGTTTGGTGGCCCTGCTGGGCAGGGGGGTTGGAACTACATGATCCTTGAGGTCCCTTCCAACCCGGGTGATTCTGTGATTCTGTGATTCTGTGATTCTGTTTTTTAAAAGCTTCTTCAAGGGCTGCCATTCTGTTTGCTAAAATTCTCCATTCTGTTTTTTCTGTCCTTGAGCAATAAATTGGGATTTGATTTTCTTATTTGTATTTATTATACCACTTTCATATTTGGGATATGATTAAAAAATTAAAAAGATAATAATAGCACAGTAAATAAAATCATATTTAAAATATTGCATATTTGGCCATATCCAAATCAGCATAATAGATGCTATTATCAGAAGAAAAATATTTCTAGTTAAGAGCAATTTTGATTAGAAGGCTAATTTTCCGTGGGTACAAAATATCTCCTCAAACTACTTTCTTATGAGCTCCAGCTTTCAGAGAAATTCCTTTTAAGAAGAAAAACCAAAAATCTCTCATCCTCAATGTGGTGTTCGTTATAAGGCATTAGACAACCACTGTGCATCTCTTAGCAAAAGCCAAGTAATCTACAGAATTAAAACCATGAAGAAGTTTTCAGCATTGTGTTTTAAAAAAGATACATTTAAAATGAAGTATTTCATGGAATCTTTTACTAAAGACCACATGTAATTAAAAACATAGTGAAAATGAGCAATAAAATGTTGAGAATGATCGTTTGTGCTATAAAAAGGGAGAAAAATACTATCTGTTCTCATACAAGGAGTCATGAACAAAGATTTCAAGGAAAAGGTTCAAAAGTAGAAAACCAAGAACTGGCAAGGAAGGCAGTGGAGACTGCCAAGTATTCACATTTTTCCTATGTCATTCTGCTTCCTCGCCTTCACTTCACCTAAGAATTTGTAGTGCTAGATTGCTATTTGAATGCTAAAAGAGGGGAGATTAAGGCTATTTTTTTGGAAAAAATTTTTTACTCAGAGAGTGATGAGGCAGTGGCACAGCTGCCCAGAGAGCTGTGGATGCGCCATCCCTGAAGGCACTTGAGGCAGGGTTGGGTGGACCCTGGGCAGACAGAGCTGGTAGGGAGCAGCCCTGCCCATGGCAGGGGGCTGGAACTGAGTTGGCTTTAAGGTCCCCTCCAATCTAAGCCATTCCATGATTCCATGATTCTATTAAAATTAGAATCAATTACTGAAACAATAAATGGATAACAACCAAATACCATCCAAAAAACCAAAGGAAAACTGATATAGCTACTGGAAAATTTGACTATTTCTTAGGATAATTTAGTCTACATGTGCCCTGTTGACCTTCATTTTACACATTAAAATGGAATAACATAGAATAACATAAGCAAACACATAACAAAAAACAATAGCATTTGTTTGCCCTTAGCTTGCAAGACATGAGAGAAAATAAAGGAAACTTGGAAGAAATATACATATATGTGTATGCATAATTTGTATAACTTGTGTAAAGTCACATAGATTTCTTTAAATTAACAATGTCAATGTTATTTAAGCAGTGAACTTAAAGAAAAAAATAAAAATATACAATATTCTAGGGAAAAAAAATGAACCGCTGGACCCTCTCCTTATGCTAACATGTTCAGTAAAATTTTTAACACTATAACTGGAGAAAGAAAAGCTCTGATAGAACATATGTCTGTCTAAAGGGCAAAGACTTCAGTGTCAGTATGTAGCAAAAATAAAGACAATTAGGAACATACGGGGGGGGAAATCATATTACTTGTAGAATTCGTTGCAGCTTTTCCACATTAAGTTAGAGCAGAATTATTTTCTGTTACTGGCTTTTTTTGTTTTTGTTTTTGCCAAGCATACCAGGCAGTGTACTTGCTTCTGTTTCACATTCGTCTTGTATATGAACTTGTGGTATTTCAGAACACAGCAATTCCACACTGCAAGTCAGCAAAGGAATATCAGCCATGCCAAAAAATGTAATGCCATGGTACTATCAGCTCTGCTTTATGAATTTGCACAAACATGTTTTCCAATCAAAACCAGAGCAGGCTACAAGCCTGCCAGTGTACCGCACTGTCTTACACAGCACACGTTTCATCAGATAATACTCTTCTATCTAAAGCATTTAGTAGCATCTGGTACTGTCATATCCAAATGCACATACGTAATCTTTTGTACTGTGATGTAAAACACACCCACGGCCAAATTCTAGTTTCAGGAGTAAAACAATAGCGTCCCTTTCTCTCTTCTCAACCACTGCTCTTATGGGAAAGAAGACTAGATGCATGCTGGTAGTATGTAGAAGTAGAAGTAACTTTTTGTCTAGAATTCTTATCTTTGCTTTCACTAGAAGGCAACAGATGTGTGCTCTCATACAAGCTTGTCCATGAATAGCTTCCTCTACAGGTACCGCTGAGACTGTCTTTCAATTTCCAGTTAAAACAGCCAAAGTTTCCCAACAGTCTCCATCAGTGATAGGACTCAAGTAGTAATACAGGAGCAGGATCACATTTCCTTCTCCTTTTAATATATATCAACATGAATGCGACTACAGGAGACCAGAATTAACATAGAGCCTTGAAGGACAGTATTTTTTTAATTTAAAAAATGGCTCTGAGCTCACAGATATGTAGTGTGCATGTTTGCAGAGCATGGCGTCTACTGACGCTCCAATAAAATTTGCAGACACATACAAACGGCTGCAAATCACATTTTGCACGCACAAGCTTTTCATACTCAATTCACAAAAACATCTTCTCACACAAACGTCTCTGAAAAGAAGCCCAAGTTCGTAATCTGTAAAGGAAGCGTCTTCTGCATACAAATACTACCAAGTTTTCTGTCAGCTTGTTCAGCCCAGAGCAGAGGAGCTGAAGGGAGACCTCATGGCAGCCAACCACTCTTCACAGGGTGCACTGCTCTCTGGTGTCAGTGACAGGACAGGTTCTATGCTTCCATGAAATGTATACCTATACATCTACCACTCAAATGTTTTTACTTTACTAAAAACTGAAGAAAACACCTCTACAATATAATTCATATATTTCTTTATCACATAGCATGACATGAAGAACCAATTCAGAACTGCTGGGTCTGAATACATAGAATACATATGTGATTTCTTACAGAGGGTCTTGTGGATTTACGCATTTTTAATTTATATAATTTTAAGTGCTTAAGTGTTTAAGTTCTTAATTTTCCCAATTTTACATTGATCAAGGGTTATTCAGTGCATATTACATAGCTGCTGTAGATCCGTGTTACCAGCTGAGGTTGTAAAGCCCCTCTGGAGATTGCCAGCCTCATATTCCTGCACCAGGCAGGGTCAGCGAGAGCAGAGAAAAGCCTGGATTCATCTTTGCTTCCTGGCATCTAGTGTCAGATAGATTTCTCTTTCCTTTCTTCTAGTGTAACAAAGTAAGTATTCTGCTAACTATTCCTATGGTTGTGGGAGACCACTGCAATCAAGTGATGGGTATATTGTGGATTTTTTATGTTTGAAATGGCACAGCATTCAAATTTTCAATGATTTATCATATAGAATTGGCAGTTGTTTTGTGTTTTTTTTTTTTCCTTTTCTGGCAGAAAAGAAAAAGGCTATTAAAATGTCAAAATATTTCGGTTGAAAAGTAGAGAATTAAGATTTGTATTTATGGCTAGTCTCCTCTTGCATTCTGCATAGTTAAATCTGCAGCTTTCCATCTAAGTTGTTATGAGAAGTACAAGCGCTTCTTTTTCCTGTAACCTGAACCAGGAGCAAAAGCTCCTTGCAAGTTAAGAAACACATCGTAATATGGTATAAAAGGCTTTTCTACCTGCTTTTAATTTACAGATGAATAGAAAATACAGCAGGTCAAGTAGAAACAAACAACTGTATTGTCCTGTAACGAAGGCACTTCTTCACAGAAGAGTTAAGGAGGAAATGGAAACATAAGGACAGAAGAAGCTAACTGCTATGGTAATATATGTGCATAAAGGACGTGTCTCTATGACAGTTTATGTTATGCTATACATAGAGACTCAGACTTAATCATTCTAGCCTGAGAAGTTACTACTCTGATAACTGATATTTCTCTCCCTAAAATCACTGGATGCTAGCTAATGCAGAAAAGGTACTGCAATCATGTCTTCTGCACAGACAAGGAATGACAAGGGGAAACGGCAGGAAACTGCAGCATAGGAAGTTCTGCACAAATGTGCGCAATAACTTCTTTACGGTGAGGTGACGGAGCACTGGAACAGGCTGCCCAGGGAGGTGGTGGAGTCTCCTTCTCTGGAGATGTTCAAGACCTGCCTGGATGCCTACCTGTGCGACCTGCTGTAGGGAACCTGCTTTGGCAGGGGGGTTGGACTCGATGATCTCTGGAGGTCCCTTCCAACCCCTACAATTCTGTGATTCTGTGATTCTGCATGCTTCTAGTATTTTGCCTCTATGAAAAACAAACATTATGGGGACTTCAAATAGACACCAATAGACAGGTACTTATTAGCCGCTGGTTATTATAAAGATAAGAAGACATGCCATGTCAGAGAAAAGGGGAAAAATACAGAGGAACGCTGCTGTAACCTATGTAGTTTTACCAAATGAGTATTCCTAAATGCTATCCTTCTCCCCGTCTCAGTTTTGTTCTTTAAAAACCTATATTACATAACAGTTTTACAATGCTTTAGATATTTTATATATTTTGTAAGCATACGTATCCATATACAGGAACAGATGTTGTTGAGTTTAGCTTAATTGTTCTCAATTTTTGACAGCAACAGCTCAAAATTCATCTCATCTACCATCACAGAGAAAAAAAGGACTACGTTTCATAATTAGGTTCCAATTTTACAGCCATATTTTACCTGTCTAAGTCGGATGTCAGTCTTTCAAAATTCTTAAGAATAGTCAAAACCTGGACATCTTGACTGAGAAAGCAAGGTGGCAACAGTCCATGGATATTCAGTTGTTGCCTTTCCTCCAAGGTAAAAGCCATGCCCTGCAATAAATATATATACACATAAGAGAGAGATAGATGGAGAGATATCTTTTAATAGAATTCTTCAGCAAAATATAACACAAGTGAAGTCACCATCAGAAAAATAATCTATTTAATACTAAACATAATTAAAAGTTACAAAATTATTTTGGAAAAAAAGTTTATTACTGAATACAAGAGAATATTCCTGCATAGTGCAATGGCTCCATTCCAGAACAGAATGAATTAAAATCTTTCAACACTGCAGTATTATTCCCTGCAAAGTTATTAAACTACAGCTCAACTACAGAACAGCAGTTCACAGGTTTTGAAAAGTGAATGAATGTTCTTAAACACTTATTTGTTTGGCTTTCTTCTGAACACAAAGCATGGATAATGTTCATTTCAGTTTAAACATTATGATCTTAATGTCTGAAAGTTTTTCAAGATCTGGGTAATGTCAGGTGATCACATGAATTTTTAACATAATGCCATAGTACAACGAAGTACTCATTCTCTTTTTATAGTCAAAGAGGTTGATCCAGAACTCAACCGAAACAGGGCCATTCTGAGTTTAGTATATATTCAGATCCAAATTTCTTTTGTTTTTCAAATTTGCATTCAGCTACAGTAAGAAGAATCTTGTTACAGACTGACTCATAGCATCCAGAAGACTTTAAAAAGTAGTTAGTATGTTAAACAGACAGTCATAAAATACAATGTTTGCAGCTTAAAGATTGGTAGACAGCCAAATATCTGGCAAAAATCTGCTTTTATAATGAGATATGTTTGTCTAAAATGTGTTTAGAAATATATTCAGAAATATATTTCAGAAATTACTCAGGCTATTGAAAAAAATACTATGCCTTTAGAGCAGAAAGACGTTTGTGTGTGTAGTATATCAATACCAAGGATCCTAAACATTGAAGTTTTACTTTGTTATAGTAACTGCAGCCAGAGAAGACTGCTGGTGAAATCAGATTTGGGAGATAAAAAGGAACATGATAGGGTTTTCTTCTATATATGACCTATCAAATCAATACATGCTTCACACTGTAACTACTACATGACGCTCCACCAACACGTTGTCCCATTGCCTTAAATCCTGCCCGCCTTTCTTACATCCTTGGAGCATGCCTTGCAGTTCTGCAGGCATTCATTCCAGGTTTACATCAAAAATTTCTGTAATGTACTATCTCTGTAATACGTATATGAGGTTAGATAGCATTTATCACTCAACAAGAGGATTTATGTATATGTATACCAGTAAAAATAAACGAGCCATCAGACAGTTGCCTAGTCTTCTATGCCTATTGTACAAAACACACAAAACATTTCAGTTCTTCCAAAAACAGAAAAGATGAGGAAATACCTTGGGTGTTCTCATGGCACAAAAGAGGGAAAAAGAACTGTGTGATGTTTTTTGCATTCATTCTCTTGTGGACAATAAATACTACTATGGTACCTTCACATCTATTATAAATATAATTTCAAAATGTCTTATTTCATTTCACCCTTAGAATCAGCAGGTGAAAAAATGATGAAAAAAAAGAAGGCAACTGCAAATGCCAAAGGTACCCCCCACTACTCGTGTTGTATCATGAGATCAGATTCACAGTCCTCTACACAATACCATTACTGCCTTTTACACAACATCTAGTGATGAAAGATGATGTGTTGGTACTGGACAGTTTGATTATACGGACAAGTTTCCATTTTCAGAAATGAACTTATTTTGACAGAACAGAAATAAACTACAAAATTGTTTTTCCCTCTTACTGTTCCATGCTTTTCATACTAATTTTCATCAAAATAGCTTTCAAGTAGTTATATCATAGCTGGCTGAAAAACAAAACAAAACAAAACAAAAAAAACCCAGCAATTCCATCACTATCTACATATTATCTGCATTTAGATGGTACACGTTTTGTTCAGTCTGCACTAAAATGCCATTAACCGAGTTGTTACCTCTAAGCACAAGATGACCCCAAAACAAGGAAAAGAAAAATTCATGACAAAAACTTTTCAAAATGCCAAACAACTCTGGATTATTAAATATACTCCTTTCACACAAAGAAAGTGAGTGAAAACAATTTTAGTAAAGGCTAACAATCATTTTGCTACAGCTTTCCATGCATGCATTCAGGGGTTTCAAAAGCCGTGTTTTTTCCTGATCCAACATTACCTTTTTTGTGTCCCTGCATGCCATGAGTGACTTCACCTGACATTACATTTTGAAAGACCAATAAAAAATAAAAAGTCAACACTCCTCAAGGGTTTCAAAGTTGGTTTCTCTATCCTCAGTAGACTTTTTTTGCCCCAGGAAATACATAAAAGCTGTGCATGTACACTCATGCACACACACCCTTCAGCGTCAATTCCAAATTATTGGACTTAAGAGAGCTTCACAGTTTCAGTGGATCAGTGTTGACAAAAAAGTGGCAAGCCAATTATCCTCTGTTTTTCTCCTCTCCTGTATCAATTAGAGAGGATTCTTCTGAAAGAAAGATTTGTGCTTACCTTCACTTTTATTGTTTGTGCTTACCTTCACGTTTAGGAATAAGATACGAACTTTAATTACTACTCTACAATTTGCATTCTTGATGGAAACTATATTTTAAAACAGACACAAGAAAAGTTACTGCATCTTGCCAAATTCCCTTTTAAAAAAGTGTTTCATCTTGGAATAGCATATTTTCCACATGTTGCTACAGCTCCTACAGTAAATGTTAATTTCTTTTGGGCAGTACTTCAAAAACACAGCACTCATCTATACCTACTACATTATACATGGTTTTAAAATTCTCTACTTGTATACTCTTCTTCAGAACAGATATCATGAGTTTTTCAAATGTATAAGATGGAACTTTAGTTCCCTTTTTCTCTGCTACTTTATATGCTTACAAGAAAATAATTATGACTGAAACACATTGCATGACGATTTAATGAGAAGATCATACACTTCTCATACACTGTTTCATCTTCTTATAATAGGGTGAGCCGGTCTACATACATTTTGTGGCTTAGGTTTGGATTTCTTGTACTAGTTTTTCATATGCAGTTTTCTACTTCAGAATTATGTTTGAAGTGTTGTTTCCCAGCCATCCAGCAGAGAGTGCTCTAAGTTCAGCGTGGTTTACATGCTCCTTGTAGAGAGCTAACTGTGCACACACCTGGATGGGGCAGGCTTCCAACCTGTAAATGTAGCTCAACTTTAAGAGAACTGTGGACATTTTCATTTTGCACTCTGTATTACAAATAATTTGTTCAAGAAGAACAGTAGTGTGGCAATCTAAAAATAAAATAAGATCAAGTGACTGCAACTGTAAGCATTAAACTTTACCTATATTCTGTTGCTTCTGTTCACTGCTTTGTGTCTTCAGAAGGCAACATATATACCACCATAATCAGAAACTGAGTTATGTTTAAGTCTCATGGGTAAGAGTTTTGAAGTCTTAAATGCTTTTGTCTCATATGCATCTTTAATCTGGCTTCGGTAAAACCTTGAGTTCTTCTTCATCCATCTCATTACCTGCCTTTCTCACAAATCACTTGGCAGAATTGGCTTTTTTTTTTTTAAACTTTACTGCTCCTTACACACAGCTCCTACTCTCAGTTTTACAGGAAGTTTTTTGTGTCTGTTTTTCTCTTTTTCATCTTCAAGAAGTTCAACTCATTGCAAATACATTTAATTCTGAACTCATTACTCAGATTGCAATGTTGATTACTTGTAGCAATTATTTATATTAATACACATTGTGCAGTATTATTTTATTATTTAATCTTTATCAGTTTATTAACTCAGCTCTTACCTACGTTCTCCACCCAGCCTCTATGCTCTCCCACAATCCATGCCATTACATGCTTATTTTCATGCAATTACACATCACTTTCCTTGTTCAGTAGCAGCCATATAACAGAAAAGCAGAAAAACACCACTTTGAATGAAACAGGTTTTTGCACCAGCTTTCAACCAAATTGACATGGTCTGCTTGAGGAGACAGAGAGCACATTCAAAACATTTCAAGAGCTATCTCAGTCTCAGTTCACAGTCAGCAAAGAGACAAGTTCTCTTTTAACACAAATTAGACTCCAAAGATTACATAAACTCCTTAAGAAAAAGTGCACCAAAATTATGTGCGCATGTTGTTTATGCGCTAATGAGATTCAACTCCATCAGTGGGTAGCCAGAACTACCTCAACAGAATGTTCATCTCAGACATTCTCCTTCAATTTCTTTAAAGACCTAGTACTCTTTTGTTCTAGTAGGCCAAAATGCCCATTTTTATAAACCATTCAGAAAAAAAAAAGGCTTATCTCCACCTGCAGGTCTCACTGTACACAACTCTTAACATTTCAGCATGTAGGACTATGCTGTCTTCAAAGATGAAACCGTGCTCACATCCAAGGGTCTTAGAAGTGGTGACTCTTTCTTCAGCTTCTGGTCATAGCAAACAAAGCCCAGTAAGACTTAAGTCATCCCTGAGACTCAAAAGACAACCTGCAACACTAACATCTGAACTCAAGTGACAGCACAAGTAGTTGAGTATAAACGATCTGTGCAAGGGGGAAGGAAGAAATGAAGAGGAAACTAAAAAGAAAACATATCTAGAAGTACCATTTGCTTTACAAGAAAAAGTTTCTGGACTGCTGATCTAAGATGCTACTAGATAAAAGTCACAATCTCTAAGATATCTTGGGGACACCAGACAACAGTTGATCACTGTCTCAGAGCCAAGAAAAAGTAAAAAAAAAAAAAACCCTCTCAATTAAAAGATCTTTCCATGTATCACAATGTTAAGAGTGAACTAATTTCAACAGTATCTGGAAAGAACCACTCAAATCCAAGGGATGCAGATATGCAGAACATCTGTGGCTGCAGCTGGAAGGAGCAGAGCTGGCTCCAAGCCACCGCCTGCAGCCTGCTGCTGGAAAAGCCGGTAAGTCAGAGCAGAGCACAAGCATTCTGGCACACAGTGTGCAGAGAAAAGCCCACAGCTGCACGGAACACAAGTCTGCAA